GCACAATTTAAGTTTTTACTTTTTAACCATTTTATTAATGTAAAAAGAAACCCCTTGTTACTTTTTAATATTGAAACTCATATATCGTTTATCCATTGAAAACATTCTTAAACATGAATTGGTCTAGACAATAAATAAACATAACTTCTGGAAGACACGAAAATTCGTCACTAGCCCAAGATCCACTTGATATTATTTAGACAATTCAAGATTTATATATACCAACTAAAACGATGGATCCTACACCCTATAAAACACCAAGTTAATAGAGATGGTCAAATCACATTATTACAAACCAAACATAAATATGGAAATGATATTAATTTCTTTGTGCCTAACCACTTTTTTAGCCTTTTTCCTAAAAGCACTCTTCAAACGAATCACCACCAACAAACCTAAGTTACCATCTCCATGGCGACTTCCGGTGATCGGAAACCTCCATCAGCTCAGTCTTAACCCTCACCGCGCTCTCCACGCACTCAGCCTCCAATATGGACCACTTATGCTCCTTCATTTCGGCAGTGCTCCTGTTCTCGTGGTCACTTGCCGTGACGTAACTCATGACATCATGAAAACATACGACCTTAAGTTCGCAAACCGCCAAAAATCTAAAGCTATTGATATATTCATGGATGGTGGTCGTGATATCATATTTTCCTCTTGCGGAGAAGATTGGAAGAATAAGAAGGTTTTTTTCTCGCATCAATTATTCCTTTTGATTTAATAATTTATAGCTGTGACAAACAAAAAAGAAAAAAAAATGGTGACGCTTGATATATATAGAGTTAAATGGGATGTATTTATATGAACGGTTTCCAATTTCCAATATGCGGGATTCATCATAGATTATAGACTAGCCACCCAACCATGATTTATTTTTTTCTTTTCAAATCCTACAATATCAAAATATACCATTTTAGATCTTTTTTTGCTTTCAAGAGTAGAGTTATTTTAGGATTTCAACGTAGATTTTATATGAATCATTAGGTGATTCACCTGCGTACACGCGGATAACTTATTTATAATATTTTTTTTAATCTTATACTTTAAAAATATGAAAATATGTATTTGTTTTGATTTTTATTACGGACATTGTTGTTGATAAGTTGTTAATTTTTTTTGTCAACAATGTTCTTTTTGTTAATAATATGAATTTTAAAAGTTTAGTTCTACCATTTTATTATTTGATAATTTTATTCTTTTATATATGTAATCATATTAAATCAAAATGTATAATAATTTAATATATTAGGGTGCACAATCTATTATGAAAAGTTGTGATCCCTCTCATAAAAGATTGAATCCTATGTTTGATCATCTTTTAAGAAAAAAATCATTTTCTAACTTCGGAAAAAATATTAAAAGATTGACCCTCTATTTGATTATCTTTTAAATGAATTTTGTATAAAAACTGAATTCGTCGTTGAAATATTAAAAGATTAATATGAAAAAATCTTCATAAACAAATTTTTTTTTTCTACAACGTAAAGCAAGTACTTTACCTTTTCATCTTCGTTTGAAATTTTTGTTTTTAGTCGTTCGTTATTTTCTATTTTTCTTATGGTTAATATTTCTTTCATATTTTTCGTATTTTGTTAATTTTGTTTTTTTAATTATATGGAATAATTAAAAAAAATATAAGATTTACATAATAATGTCACTCGTTGACTTACTTAAAACATACACATTGGAAAACCCTATGTATACTTAGAACTATTTAGATAGAAAATATTATATCAAAGAGGCATCAAATATTTATCAATAAAATTTATATTTGAGATGAATAATGCAAAATATATTAAAACATATTTTAAGGCATGAAAAAAGCACTCATTGGTTGGTAAAAATATTTGCATAGGTTTACAAATTTTTTTGGTCAAATTTCAATATGAAAAAAATTAATAGTTTAAAGTTTTTAATTTTTTAATTAAAATAATTCGTTTTTATAGTTAAATCACAAAATCTGTAAATATTTATTTATGGAATATGTAGTTTCGTTGATTTAAAATTCAATTGTTAAAGAAATAAATATAAATTTAGTTATGAAAAAATTTAGAGTAGATTTTATGACGACTTATTTCAATTATTTACTAAAAAGATTTGCCATATCACAATACTTTTCAAACCATGTTATCATTTTTTTAGTGAGAGTGATTATAGAAGTGACACATAAGTTTTTTTCTCCAAAATCACTTCACAAATAATATATAAGGGATTGAGTCTATCTATTTTGTCCCTACTAAATATTAAAAAATAATGTAAAATATATTAGAACTGGATTCTTATAGATATAATAGAACATTTAATTTGTTCTTTAATTCGCATGAAAATTGTATTGAAAGGGGGCATTTTAAAACATTTGTTTTCAAGGCACCCCACCCCACCCACACTTTAATTTTGATTTATACCACACTCTTTTTTTGTCAACATGTTTAACGTCCTAGTTTAAGATGACTTCCTAAGCACAATCAATAATTAAAAATTGTTACTTTTTTACAAACACAAGATTCCTAGTGCGATCTTAAGGATTTTTAATAAAGAAAAATCTATATTACAAATCTTGACATTTATACTAAAAAAAAATTAATTGATGGAAATATTGATTGGATAAATTTTGACATTTGGTCTCTCATAATTATCTTTTTCTTGGTATATATATATAGAAGCATTATTATTGTATATCAAATTATTCTGCTTAGGATTCTTGCAGAATCTGTAGAGTGATGGTCTTTTTTTTGTCATTTTTTTGTCTACTTTTATCTTTACAAATGGTCAAATTAAACTGCTTGCAGAGTCTATGTGTGGTACATCTGCTCAACAACAAAATGGTTCGGTCCTTTGAAAGCCTAAGAGAAGCAGAGATAAAACTAATGACAGATAAACTGGAAGAAGCATGTTCATCTTCTTCATCAGTAAATCTAAGCAATGTTATTATGGCTCTTACAAACGATGTCATATGCAGAATCACCTTTGGTAGAAAATATAACAGTAAGGAAGGTGGAATTGATGTCAAGAAGTTAGTGATGACATCCTCTGAGTTCTTTGGAAAGTTCTTTTTCGGAGATTTTATTCCGAGTTTGGCATGGATCGATAGGATCCGCGGCATAGATGATCAAATGAAGGACATAAATAACAAGTTAGAGGGGTTTTTAGACAACACGGTGCAAGAACATGTAGATGCTGATCATGAAGAACCATCAGACTTTGTTGATGTGTTGCTATGGCTTCAAAAAGATAAAACCAAAAAGTTTCAGTTTGACAAAAATGACATAAAACTCATCCTCAAGGTAATACAACCTATTCCTTTTTTTTTTTGCATATTTTCAAGATGTTCTGTTTTAGAATTTGCTATACATGTCAAATGATTTTAAATGAGATATGTTTGGGTAAATAAACAGCTTTTTTTTTGTAGAAAAACATTTTAGATATCTGATATAGTCTCATTTGCTATCATTTGATAACAGAAGATACATTAAGAAAAAGGAACAAATTTTTTTAACCAAAAAATCATTCAATAGAAAATTTAGTATATTACCGGTCTTAACACTAAGACTGTTTGTTGCGTAAAGCTAGATTCATACTCATGATTTTACTTTTGTAAAAATTGTTTCACCGGTTTGGATTTTTATGAATTGTTGGTTAAAAAAGTGAAAAAAATTATTAGAATTAATTTTCTTTTTAAAACTAGACTTTGATTTGGGTTTGATAAACCTCTTGTTAATTTGGTCTAAACCATTTTACATATCAATCAATAGATAATTTCTGGTTTTCCAGGATATATTTTTTGCGGGAACAGCCACAACTGCCTCACTACTAGAATGGACACTGACAGAGCTATTTAGACATCCAAAGGTTATGAAGAAACTTCAAGATGCGATTAAATCAGTTTCGATGCATAATTCAAATGTAACGGAGAAAGAAGTTGAGCAAATAAGTTATTTACATGATGTGATCAAGGAAGGGCTACGGTTGCATCCCTCTGGTCCATTACTATTCAGACTACCAAGTGAAGATGTCCAACTAAAAGGATACAATATTGCTGCAGGGACACAGGTAAATATATTTTTAATCCTATAAGACTAATTAAACCTAGATGTAAAAATATAAAATGATTGAGTTGTAACACAGGTGATAATCAATGTTTGGGCAATCCAACGAGACCCTGCGATATGGGGACATGATGCAGATGAATTTAGACCAGAGAGGCATTTAGAGTCGAATTTGGATTTTAACGGTACTGATTCCAAGTTCCTTCCATTTGGAGCGGGGAGAAGACTGTGCCCCGGTATTGGATTTGCTATGGTCATGGCCAAACTGATACTAGCCAACATTGTAAAACGGTTCAACTATAGAGTCGAGGTCGGACCAACGGGAGATGATATGCCTGATCTAGCTGAAGCATCTGGTATCGATGTTTGTCGCAAGTTCCCTCTCATTGTTTATCCATCAGTTGTGCACGCGTGAAGATATAGCTTGTTCAATTCACTTCTTTAATGATGAGTGAGTGTGACCTTTGCTTTTGTGTTCCTTTATGAATAAAATTTTATGTATATGTAGACTAATGTCGCTGCTGTGTTTTATGAATCCAAAAACATAAGTTTATTACTTTTCTTTGTAATGTAAAATTTATTCCACAAAAAACTTTGTACATGCTTCAAAAAAGTATTCAAACAAACGATAAGT